CAGGGAGGGGCGTGGGGGCGCGCGGGAGCCGGGCCGTGCCCCCTGCCCGGACCCGCGGGGACTCACTGCCGCGGGGAAAGGGGAACACGCGGGAGACGCTGGCTCCGCCACCGGCCGGTCTCTGGAGAGGCCGCAGCCCCCTCCGGGGACTCCCAGGAACTGGCCCCCATCGCAGGGCTCCCCCAGGCACCGCCGGCCACGCAGGGCCTGGGAGCCAGAGCCCAGCAGGGCGCTCGGGTGACGGAGGTGCCCGCTGGGCACAGGTCTGTGGCCTCCCAGAGTGAGGCCTGTCCGGAGCCAGCCGCCGCCACGCAAGGCCAGTGGCTAAGGCCGGCCCGGACCCCTGCAGCCCGGACCGCCGCCGGGCCCTGCCCCTTGCACCCCGACAGCCGCCAGGCTGGACACGCCACGCCTGGGCCCGCTCCTCACCCGTCCCCTCTGGGACCTGGGGGAGGGGGGAGGGCTGTCACTGCTGGGCAGGGCATGCCTGGGGCAGCAGAGAGCCAAGGCCAAGGCCACAGGAGCTGGTGGCCCCTGGGCAGGCAGCCCAGCCCCCTCCCTCTGCACCAGCTGTTAGCTATTAGGGGAGGACTCCTGCAGCATCCCCTGCCAGCCGGGCTCTTAAAAGGGCGCTGCGCACTTTGCTTTGGGAGGTCCCACGCCGCCTGGGTCACCCTGCCGGGGGCTCGGGCTCAAGGCTGCCTGGGAGAGGACCCCACAGGCACATTGGGGGCTCATGCAGCAGCTGCACCCGCAGCCCCCAGGCTCAGCGGAGCCAGGACCGAGCTGTGGGGCCCAGCCCCTTCCACCTTTGCAGGACTTGGCCTGGCATCGCACAGCAGCAGTGGCCTGGCGCACATGGGCAGCAACTGCTCTGCCCCGCCAGCGCCGGGGATCCACCAGCCCCCCTGAGTGGGGGGATGCCTGCCCCCCCGCTCCTGCATGGCATGGGGCCACACTGCCCAGCTGGGGGGCAGCACTCACCCAGTGCTCCAGCTGGGACCCAGGGCACGGCAGCTGGGGGGCAGCAGGCATGTGGGCATCCTGTGGGAGCCCCGGGCCAGGAAGGGCCCCCACATGCCACTGAATCACTCCCAGGGGGATGGATCAGGGCCGCTGCAGGGACAACCCATGACTCTGGGCAGGGACAGTGCACGTGGGGGCCAAGCGCTGCCCGGGGCTCATGCACCCCTGGGTCTTGACCATCTCCTGGGGAGCCTCCCGCCATGCTGGCTTTCCCGAGGCCCTTTCTGGCCTGGCCCAACACCAGGATAGGAGTGCATGGGGCCTGGACTCCAGAACACCTGGGTTCAGGGGGCATGGCCCCTCCCTAGGCCCACTTACCTCCATGGCAGGGCACGGCCATCCCACGGGAGAGGGCCTTTGCGCCTGCCGGAGCTCAGAGCCCTGGCATGGACACGGCGCTCCCCTGTCACCACAGGCATGAAGCTGGTTCTCCCAAGGGAGAGGCTGGGCAGGGAGAGAGCATCTCTGTGGCCCAGGGACCAACCCAGCCACCAGGGACCAACCCACCTCTGGTCCCATTCGGGCCGGGGATGCCCTCCTGCTGCCTGGAAGAGACGCCGGGCAGTGCTCCCCCTGCACGGGCACCCCACGAGTGGAGTTGCTCAGCCTGTCACCTACGCCTGGGGTCTCCCGGCTCCTGACAGGATGGAGCCGTGCAGGCCAGGGCTGGGCGCTCGGTTGCACCATGGCGCCGAGGTGGCAGTCCACACAGCCTGTCAAGCCCCCAGCAGCGAGACGTGAGCCACTGCCATGCACCAATATGCCACGGCTCACAGGGGCAGTCCAGGGTGCCCATTACCCAGAAGCATGGCCCCAGGGCTCCAATCCCAGGCCCAGAGCCTGCCTTGCCCCTGCCCCATGCGGAGGGGGGCAGTGAGCTTGCAGCATCTCGAGTGGGTGCAGCTCTGGCACGGTGGCGTAGCAGGGGCGGGAAGAAAAGCTGAAGGATCCCAGCAACCAAAGGCAAATGCTTCCCCCATTCCTTGTGGGGCCCAGGCTGGGATCCAGCCGGGCGGCCAGGGTGCAGTCCTGTTCCTGGGGTCTAGGAGGGACTTTCTGCCCAAGGGGGGCAGGAGCCAGGCCGGGCAGGTCACGGCCGGCCCAGGGTGGTCTCTGGCAGAACGATTAGGGAGAGCCCTCGCCTCCCCCTCCAGGAGAGCTGCCTGCACATGGCGTGGCAGGGGCAGAGCTGCCCTGGAGGGATGCTCCCATCCAAGCTGGGCAGGCACTCGAAGCGCACGCCAGCCTGCCTTCACCTACAGGCATGGCAACTCAGGACTGTTCCCCCACCCCGCGGGCCACGGCAAGCAGGCGCCTCTGAGGCACTCGCCCTCCAGAGCTCGGGGCTTGGAGCCAGGGGCAGCGCAGCCGGGCAGGAAAGGGGACGCCCCCTCCTGCGCTGCCCTGCTTGGGGCCACGAGACGCCCCAAACCCCCTCCAGGGAGCAGGGCAGCACGTGGCAGCCTGCAGTGCCCGTCCCTCGCCACCAGGCGTCAGCGCCGAGACACATGTGAGCCACACCACTGCAGCCAGGCTCTTTTACCGGATGTGCCAACCTCTGCCAGGCGGCGCCCGGGTCCAGCCTGGGGCCACCGGCCAGCCGCATGCCGGGAGCTGGCCCGGCGCCTCTCCAGTGGCTTTGACATGCCCGGCCCCACAGGCGCGGCCCCGGCCCTTCCCCGGTGGCTTGGCCCTGCCGAGCCCAAGAGCAGTGCTCCGGCCCCAGCCCCAGCCCTGTGTCCCGTTGCAAGTCTCTGCTACATAAACTCGATGCCCTCGTATTTCACGTCCCCAATGTGAGTCTCGGGCAGAAGCAAGCGCCCGTCCAGCGTGAAGGCCAGGATGTAGCTGGCCACCTTGCCCTGGTCCTCCTCCGACTTGAGGGCCACGATGATCTGGTCGTCGGTGTCGGGGATGAACTTGAAGGCGGAGAAGCCATGGGTGGGCACCACGTCGCCAACGTGCCGCAGGGCCACATCCCTGAAGTCCTGTGTGGCGCTGAGCAGCAGGTTGGTGCCACGGTGCTCGTCCTCCTTCTCGTCGTAGTGCTCGTGGCTGGCTCGGCGTGGCAGGAAAAACCAGCGCTGCAGCGTGTCGCTCCAAGAGGCTGACTCGTGGATCAGGTAGCCTGGGGAGGGACAGAGCCACATCACCTGCCACGGCCGGGAGGGGAGGCCGGGCACAGGACTGGGTGCCAGGAGTGGCCCATGGGCCACTGCCTGCCCCTGCCACAGACAACGGGGCATTGGCTGGTCTGGATGGCCAGCCCTGGCCGTCACGGAGCACGTCACAGCTCTCCTGCTCCGTGCCCGCAAGCTCGTGCACCCGCCCCACGCTGCCCCAGCCCCGGAACAGCAGAGCGAGGCCTCCTGTCCCAACCCACGGGCACCGCTCGTGCTCCACTAGCCCCTACAGCTCAGGAAGCATCACCCCACGCCAGGGCACGTGGACTCAATGCCACGGTGCCCCCCACCCCTCCCTGCCAGTGCCCAGGGCAGTCGTGCCCCCTCTCACCTGGGGGCCTGATGCCCACGGCTGCCCGCAGTGCGTTGTAGTTGGAGACCCAGTTCTCGTGGTCCACGTCCCCCTTGTAGCCGACCACCTTCACCCACTCGGGGTTCTCGTTCACCACCTCCCCGGTGGTCGTGGTCCACTCCTTGCCCAGGCCACCCACGTACAGGTGCTCGTCTTTCACTGCCAGCCACTCCGCCTTGAAGCCTGCCGCGCACAGACCCAGCGTTGGCGTCAGCCCGCACCGGGCATCCCGGGGGCCCGCGACCACCGATCTTTCCACGGAGCCCACAGCTGAACGGGCATCCCCGGCTGCCCCCCACCCCGGGCTCCCCCAGCCCTCCCGCCCAAGGGCAAGGCCAGGAGAGGAGGGGTCCTAGCGCCAGAGCGGGCTCACCTTTGCCCACGGTGCCGTCCCCGTCCGAGAGGATCACCCAGGGCACCACCTTGGTGCCCTCCACCTGGTAGACCACGCCGGTGCGGTCGTCCACAGCGTACAACTTGCCGTTGAAGACGACCAGGTCGGAGAGCTCCATGCCGCGGCCCTTCTCGGCCAGGTGCGACTCCAGCACGCAGTCCTCGGCGTCCCACTCCACGGCCACGCGGTCCCCGCTGGCCGCCAGCACCAGGTAGCCCTTCTTCAGGTAGCTGAACCAGGTGTGGTCCCGTGTGCCCCGCGACCGCGTGTCCAGGTCGGCGATGATGCCGATGCGATAGCGCACGCCCTCGGCGTTGCGCTGCGGCGGGGACAGCGGATAGGTGTCGTTGTAGCCGCCTCCCGATGC